CCCCCCCCCTCCCCCCTGGCATTTTGCTCAGGCTACGGCCCTGCTCTGTGCAGATGTATAATCCTTGAATTAACATTATTCTGAGGTATCAGACTATATCATTACTGCGGAAAGTTATCAGTGCGTGCCGATGTCAACATACGACAGTCAAAGATTAATATAACTTCTGGAATATGCAAGTTTTACACACAAGCACGCGCGAGCACTTAGTATTACACTGAACATTGAAAAAAAAAAAACAATTTTACACTATCATTATTAATTGGAAGGCCGCGCCGTTATTTATTTATTTATTTATTTATTTATTTTTATTTTTTTTTTGTAATTCTACTCAAAAATAAGATAACAGAAGGTTATGTCAATTATGTGCCTAAGTAAGGGGGCACTTTTCGACACCTATTTTTGCATAAAGATAAGGTCAGGAAAAGTTATCTGACAACTGTGCCTAAGTAAGGGGGACTGTTCAATGGATCACGAAAAATGAAACTACATTATCGGGAGAACACAGGTGTGAATGGTAAATGACAAAATTGTAAAAGACTCGCGTAAAGGCTAAGGTTTCACCAATCACAGGAAATATTTACAAAGGCAAGAACCAAAATTTTACGCCATTACCCTCCCTCCCCCTCAGTAATTTGAAAACCGTTTCTTTGGTAACCACATTCTTCCATGAAATCATTTTAAACCTTCTAGATTTTCCAGTTCCTGAGGAGATGTAAACCACTTTTATAAAGCAAGCACCGCTCAGGGAGTTGCAGTACCCGCAATGTACGTGAGCTATTTGGAGAGAGAGAGGGAGAGAGTCATGCTGGTGATAACTGACCTGACTAGCCTTTTGGCTACAGGACTCTGTATTTGATGATGGATTAATCAGCATACCGAAACCAGATGGATCAAAGGACCTTGTAGTACCTACAAATAAAGCACGATAAATCGTAATACAAAAACGGTGTATTACATGCAGTGATTGGTTGTGATTTCAGTTTAACAGTATTTCACTGGCAAATGTAATCTGTTCGGAAATAAAATTCGGGTTTTCATCAATATTAACTTTTCCCATTAGGCATAAAAAACATTTCGTCACTAGCGGCTGAGAATGTATTATTATTTTTATTATGAAAAAAGTTTTTGGTTACACGGTAAATGGTATGTATTATTAAAATATATATTATATTTTGGTTTAATGGCATCATTCAAACAGGCAAATATACTATCAGACAAAGTTTAGACAAAAAAACAAACCCATATTTGAAGGACACGGCTCAACCCTCAGTGTTTCGTCACTGCTGTACAGGCACTTCCAACAAAATGCGTTCCTCAAGTAATACTCTTGTCCTCTTGCTGAAATAAAGTAGGTAAACAACTGTGGTCCAGAAGAGCAAAGTTCCCTATGTGTAGGGTCAGCGTTTTGGTCACAATCACTTTCATTAAGCCGCTTGTTTCGTTCTGCTTCCCCATGTGAGAAACACCGTCTTCCTGGAATGGTTGCTGGTGACTCGAAATAAACCATGCAGTCGTGGTTCTCCCTAACACCCTTCAATACATCGGCTGTACGCGACATTGAACTGATATTCAATGCGGTACTGGTCACATATTCGTTGCAAGTTACGATAGGGGACCAATTATCGTATTTATCAAAATTGTGGCACATTGCACAGTACCTATTTCGAAATGTCAGTTTTGTTGCGGGGTCAGAAACGGGAAGATGGCGCTCAATGTCATCGGCAGCACTGCGATTTTCACATCTGTCTCGTATTGTTTCATTTGTCCAGGTGGTTGGACAAGACGTTACCATCCAGTAGGATTTACTGCTGATACCTCTCAAAGACCTAGAGTCAAGGGATTGCCATATGCAGTCAATGTTATTTCGTTGAATATCTATCTCATTAGATAGCGCTGCTTGCACACCACTTGTTGAAATTCTGTCGCAAGGGTGGTATGGCTCACAGCAGTCCTCAAAAATGTTGCAGAGTCTGTCGCAGTGGCAAAATATCTGGATAAAGTCAAATCGAAAAGGTCTTGTTGCACAAAAGACTTTGGATGAAGTTATATTAAATGATGTTCCATTCCAGGGGTTTGACAAAATGTTTGGTTCTTTTGTATCTAGTGGTGATGATGTGGTTTCGTCCCCATTCTGTGTAATGCCGTCCTGAAGTGTGAGGAGGGCTGTTGTTGCGTTCCAAGGGAAAGCCTTCCCTCCAGTTGACTTATCTTGGTCAGTTAACAGTGGAGTCGTCGTGGTTCCAGTGTATCCGTCAACTCTTCTGTTATATGCGCTGGTAGAAACCTCCTGTTCTCGTTTCGAATCCAATGGCGTTGTGTTAGGGACAGCCATAGTAGCGTTATGTGGGTAAGTTAAGTTGGTGACGGTTTTGTTCGCTGGAACAGCTGCCAAAACACTGCCTTGCCAAAGTATCATTGAGCCGACGAGAAGAAATAGAACATTGCTTATCTTTGAATCATCCATATTATCAACCGACTTGGAAATATTCAAAAGCATAAAGATGTCCTCCGAGCTCCTTTATCTTTGTTTTACTTAATCCAATCCCTTTCAATGCAATGCGTTTTTCAAATACCATAGCGCTTTAAATAGTTCTTCGCAATTGAAATGCTCCTCCCATTATTCTTATAAGAACCTATTAGTGTTGCCCATAATAAAACCATTACTTTGCTTTTGTCTCCAATAGAAACAGTTTGATTACAAAACCCTTTCATTGTAACCCTTGGACTCACCTGACCGACTCTACGTTGCATTGTGATTGGACTGATCTTTGCTCTTGATAAGCATAGTCATTGCCTTGTAAAGAAGGTGCTATGTGATCAGTTCACCATTGTGGTGGGTTCTGAAGTTTACAAGTAATCGAGAAGTAATATTTTACCATAACCAAGTACGAACCCATTTATTTGAAATGTAATGTAATAATGTTAGGCCCCATTCAGAGGGGAATTGCTAGTTCAAATACGGCTACCCACTACAAAACCGGCCGTCTAAACCTGCTAATAGACACTGTATAGATTCGCCGTGGGGAAGTATTCAAGTGGGTGACCGGTCGGCCATATTTGACCCTCTGACTAGTTAGTCCCCTATTCTGAATGATGCCTTATACATATATGCGTTTATTCAGTTTTAATGTACAATAATACCGCCGGTATATGTTTGTATAGGTATGTATATGTATATGTATATGTACTCAGGTGGCCAACACAATGGTTTTGTGTAAAGTTTAGGAGGGGACTCGAGCTTCAAAAGTTCTCTCTTTTTAAACTGAAGCATATGTTACAGAGTGACATTGTAACACATTTTCACATCTTTTTCATCATATAAAAAAGCAAAGAACCTGCTTAGAAAAAGGCCTTGTTCCCTTTCTTCATTTCTGTGAGCAATCAAGAAGCTCTCCAGTCTCCAGTTCCGGGTATCCAGTCTCGTCTGGTTGCCTTCGTATTACCACTGGCAGTGAAAAGTAAAGAATATAGGCCATAGAGGTCTTGGTAGAAATAAAAATATGCCATGTAAATAAATATTTGAGTTTGAAAGCAAAGTGACATATTGTACATTTTATCTTGATAATATTTTAACAAAGCCAGGAGAAAACATAAAACAAAACGTAGTTTATTATGCATCCAAAGCGTTCTGTTTTATGACTGTGACGAGGCCGAATAAGTGAGAGAACTTACACGAGATTCCATTTTACATACATCATACAGTAGGGATGTTTCGTGTGGTCCATCTCAATTTATCAAAATGGCGATAGAGATCTACATAACTAATTGGATTATATCATGACTGTCTTGTTTTAAAACCTGAACATGTGATTAACAGAAGCGTTGAGTTTCTCTGTAAAACTTTTCAGTGAAGGATCGACAAACAAAATCGTCGCATTACATCGATTGAATGGATGACTTATTGACAGGACACGAAACAATAACTCATGTATCTTGACACCTAACTGATATAGTGATGATTATTCCACGGCTCATCTTTTCCTGTATTTCTATGCAAAATGCGTGACTGATTGACAAGGCATGGCAAAATCTTACGGGTTTTTTGAGGCTAACTACGCAACACGGTAACGTGTTTTTCAAAGAAGACTTTCGCACTGACGTAACCCTCGCATATGTAAAATGTATGTGTGAAATTAACAAGGCTCATCCAATCTCGTTTAATGGTGTGCATGCAAATTTGATAAAACAATGTAACACGTTTGATGTTTTGAATTGGCCAACGAATAATATGTTCATGGACATGATATAGTAGGGATGTTTCGCCCATCTCCATTTATCGAAATGGCGATTAGAGGTCTAGCTAAGTAATTGGATTATGTCATGACTAACATGTTTTAAAACCCGAGTATATGATTTACCCGGGTATGTTTGAACTTTTTGACATTCTTCTAAACATTGTTTCCAGACACGTTGAGTTCTCTGTAAATCTTTTTTGTGAAGAATCGACAAACAAAATCGTCGCATTACATCGATTGAATGGATGACTTATTGACAGGACACGAAACAATAACTCATGTATCTTGACACCTAACTGATATAGTGATGATTATTCCACGGCTCATCTTTTCCTGTATTTCTATGCAAAATGCGTGACTGATTGACAAGGCATGGCAAAATCTTACGGGTTTTTTGAGGCTAACTACGCAACACGGTAACGTGTTTTTCAAAGAAGACTTTCGCACTGACGTAACCCTCGCATATGTAAAATGTATGTGTGAAATTAACAAGGCTCATCCAATCTCGTTTAATGGTGTGCATGCAAATTTGATAAAACAATGTAACACGTTTGATGTTTTGAATTGGCCAACGAGTGATATGTTCATGGACATAATATAGTAGGGATGTTTCGCCCATCTCCATTTATCGAAATGGCGATTAGAGGTCTAGCTAAGTAATTGGATTATGTCATGACTAACATGTTTTAAAACCCTGAACGTAGGATTAACTCGGGCCTGTTTGACCGTCTTTGACATTCTTTTAAACTTTGTTTCGAGACACGTTGAGTTCTCTGTAAATCTTTTTTGTGAAGAATCGACAAACAAAATCGTCGCATTACATCGATTGAATGGATGACTTATTGACAGGACACGAAACAATAACTCATGTATCTTGACACCTAACTGATATAGTGATACTTATTCCACGGCTCATCTTTTCCTGTGTTTCTATGCAAAATGCGTGACTGATTGACAGGGCATGGCAAAATCTTACGGGTTTTTTTAGGCTAACTACGCAACACGGTAACGTGTTTTTCAAAGAAGACTTTCGCACTGACGTAACCCTCGCATATGTAAAATGTATGTGTGAAATTAACAAGGCTCATCCAATCTCGTTTAATGGTGTGCATGCAAATTTGATAAAACAATGTAACTCGTTTGATGTTTTGAATTGGCCAACGAATAATATGTTCATGGACATGATATGGTAGGAATGTTTCTTCTAGTCCATCTTCACAAATCAAAAGGGCGATTTGAGGTCCAAATTTAAAACGCTGAACGTATGATTAACTCGGGCCTGTTTGACCATCTTTGACATTCTTCTAAACTTTGTTTCGAGACACGTTGAGTTTCTCTGTAAATCTTTTCTGTGAAGGATCAACAAACAAAATCGTCGCATTACATCGATTGAATGGATGACTTATTGACAGGACATGAAACAATAACTAATGTATCTTGACACCTAGCTGATATAGTGATGATTATTCCACGGCTCATCTTTTCCTGTATTTCTATGCACAGTGCGTGACTAATTGACATGGCATTGCAAAACCGTAAGGGTTTTTTTAGGCTAACTACACAACACGGCAGCGCGCTTTTTAAAAGATCTTTGCGCTGGTATAACCCTTGTATGTGTAAAATGTATGTGTGAAATTAACAAGGCTCATCCAATCTCGTTTAATGGTGTGCATTCACATTTGATAAAACAAGGTAACGCGTTTGATGTTTTGAATTGGCCAACGAATAATATGTTCATGGACATGATATAGTAGGGATGTTTCGTCTGGCTCGATCATCTCCTTTTATCGAAATGGCGATTAGGTCTAACTGAGTAGGGCCTAATTGGATTATATCATCACTATTTTGTTTCAAACCCTAAACGTAGGATTAACTCGGGCCTGTTTGACCATCTTTGACATTCTTTTAAACTTTGTTTCGAGACACGTTGAGTTTCTCTGTAAATCTTTTTTGTGAAGGATCGACAAACAAAATCGTCGCATTACATCGATTGAATGGATGACTTATTGACAGGGCACGAAATAATAACTCATGTATCTTACACCTAACTGATATAGTGATACTTATTCCACGGATAATCTTTTCTGTATTATTATGCGAAGTGCGTGACTGATTGACAAGGCATCGCAAAATCGTAAGGGTTTTTTTAGGCTAACTACACAACACGGCAGCGCGCTTTTTTAAAGATCTTTGCGCTGATAAGTTAATTATCAACTTTTTTTTCAGTTTTTAAGATCTTTCCACTTTTATGGGGGAAACAATGCATTGTTTTGTAACCTAATTATATAAATATATTTGGATATTGGCTATATTTTTTATGTATAGGCCTACATGTGTTGTTTAGTTATGCGATACACAATGAACTTAAATTTATTTTGTGTTTAAGACTTACAAGTTGACTTACAAGTTTACTGTTTTAGTTGTGTAAGGTGTAAAAAACATGTTTCTGAAAAGTTTTATGACTCGCTTAATTGTGTCCGGGAGTAGGCCTGTCCCATTTTATCACGCAAATGAGGAGTATCCCCATAAATGTTGCCGGAGGTTTGCGGGAGTCACCCTGAGCTTCAGAGATAACTTGATATATAACCTCTTCACTATAGCCTATCTTCATCGTGTCAAGTTATCTCTGAAGCTCAGGGTGATTTAGGCCTACGTAGGCTTGGATAAAAATGATCAATTTTCATGTCTAAGTCTCAATATTCTCATTTCATGAACTGTTCTTTTGGCTACCTGTTCTTTAACTTTAACCTGCGCTCGTTTCTGCATCCCGGTATCTTAAAGGTAGTTTGATACCGACGTAAAAACGCGATTTCCCTTTGTTACACCAGGAAGTAAACGTTACCACTGGTCGGGGCGAGAAAGCAGACGAAGCGATGATTACGTCATCACTATATGTGTATCTGCCAACCGGAAATTAGTGCAGCGTGCCTTTTTTCTCTCCGAGGCAGAGAAGAACATGAGCAAGATAGAAGACCTTGAATTTCCCTACTGCCAAGATGTTAATAAATACGAGAAGCTGGCCAAAATTGGACAGGGGACCTTTGGGTAAGAGATACAACAGATATGCAAGACAACATCCGGTTTTTTACGTGTGCATACGTTTTTGTTGTGGTTCATTCATTCATTTCGACCACGTTTAGCTTCTTTGTTCTATTTCTTCGCTTTTACTGTCTTTGCCTTATTTGAAAAAAAAAATCCTTTGGATTATTGGTTTCAATGGAACTATTGTGTGAAATATTAAGTTTAATTGTTCTGCTAAGAGTAGAATTTTAATGATGTTTACTATAGTGTACATCGGAAATCACAAAGAAATTAAAATTCACACTTTGACACTGTTTGTGTTCATGCATTGTATCATGAATTATAATTAAATTATATACCTGTGGTCGTATGTAATTGTATTTGGGAAAATTTATGAAATTATGTGAATATTTTTGTGTGTGTGCTTGCATATATGTATGTTATAGAGTGGAACTATTTGGGTCCTATTTATTTATTTATTTACAGTATTTATTTATTTATTTATTTATTTATTTATTTCAGCAGTCCAGTGCATGCTAGAGAGATTAAAACTAATGTAATTTTCTGTTAAATATTATTTTACAAATTTTATTGTTAAATGACAAAGTCATCTTCATATTGCTGCAGTACATGTTGGTGTTAATATTCCAGTGAAGTGTTTAAAGCTCGCGACAGGAAAACAAAAACCTTGGTCGCCCTCAAGAAAGTTCTTATGGAAAATGAAAAGGAAGGGGTAAGGCCATGTAATGTTATACTTAGACTTTTCTCAGGATAGATTAGAAATTGAAAAAATTAAATATTGGCTCTTTATTTAAAACTGTGATTGCTTACTTTAAAAGATGTTAAAAGGAAAAAAGATAATAATTTTTTTTTCTTACATGGTATGTCTTATCATTTTACCAAGCATAGCATTATATTTGAAAAACATTTTTTAAATGCTCATGTATTGTCCTGTGGCACAAGCTCCTCACCCATGTGAAGTGTGCCATGAGCACTGACTATACTGACTATAAACTTTTTAACATTTCAGTTTCCCATCACAGCATTGAGAGAGATTAAGATTTTGCAGCTTCTGAAGAATGAAAATGTTGTTAATTTAATTGAAATTTGTAGGAGTAAAGGTAAATGAAAAGTTATCAGGAATTAAGGAAGAAAATAATTCCAAAGAACCCTCAAATGACTTGATATCTCTTTTCCAACAATATTCAGTGTAAATATGCTCTGAAATTGTCCTAGCTAGTGGTAAACCTTCCATTGCAAGTGCTTTTAAAAAGTCATTCAATTTCTTATGAGTTGTTATGTGCCCAGCAATCACTATCTTCTGATTTTTCTCTCTATTTTTCAGCCACACCCTACAACAGATTCAAGAGCACTTTCTACTTGGTATTTGAATTCTGTGAACATGACTTAGCGGGACTTCTTAGTAATTCTAATGTGAAGTTCACCTTGGGGGAAATCAAGAAAGTTATGCAGCAACTGCTCAATGGATTATATTACATCCACAGTAACAAAGTGCTTCATAGAGACATGAAAGCAGCTAATATTCTAATAACAAAATCAGGACAGTTGAAATTAGCTGATTTTGGACTTGCTAGAGCTTTCAGTATTAACAACAAAGGCCAGCCAATGAGATATACCAATCGTGTTGTTACTCTATGGTATCGCCCCCCAGAACTTTTGCTTGGTGAAAGGGATTATGGGCCAGCTATTGACATGTGGGGCGCGGGATGTATTATGGCAGAAATGTGGACTAGAAGTCCTATAATGCAAGGGGACACTGAGCAACGCCAGCTACAGCTGATCACACAACTTTGTGGTTCTATCACAACAAAGGTATGGCCCGATGTGGAAAAATACGAACTTTACACCAAAATGGAGCTACCAAAGGACCAAAAACGTAAAGTAAAGGATCGCCTGAAAGCCTACATTAAAGACCAATATGCCTTGGACTTACTGGATAAGTTACTCACACTGGACCCAACCAAACGTATCGATGGTGACCGAGCTTTGGACCATGATTTTTTCTGGACAGACCCACGTCCTTGTGAGCTGGGTAAAATGCTGTCCCAGCATACTATGTCCATGTTTGAGTACCTGGCGCCCCCTAGGAGGCGTGGAGCTGGACCACACCAGCAGCAGCCTGTTGCTAAACCTGCAGCAAGCATGGACCAACATTTTGATAGGATATTCTAGTCGTTTTAATTATGATTGGGTCATTGTCTTTTACTTCAAATGTGAAGAGTCATGTTTTTGTATACAAAAAGCATAAGATTTTGATCTTTTATATCACCAACATATTTTACCCTCTGTCATTTCCTTTTTTTCATTTATTCATCTCTCTGATTAGATAATTATGTTAGAAGCAACCACATTGCAGATTAACTGTCTTAAATTTAACTGGAAGGAAAATAAGATGTTGAAGAAACATAACGATCCCAAAAGTACAAAGAGAGAAATTACTGTGGAATACCCCATGATAATCATACTTGTCTGGAGTAGGACAAGACATACTGGTATAATATTTGGCATAAATAACACAGGCCTAAAACCAACAATTTCAAATGTGGTTTAAGCTTGTGGACTTTTTACCCCCTTAGTTGATCTAACATGAGGAATTGCATAGAACCTGGACCAAATTTTGATTCAAAGTGGATCTTTTTCTCCCAAAAGGGCAATTCTTTTTAACCCTACCACCTGATTTTGTTCCAAGTGTTCAGTGTATAAAACATTTAAAATCTTTTGTTATAATCTAGATATTGTGTCAGTTTTTTTTTTTTACAGTAAATCCTTTAATTCCAATTGTATTAAATGAATGATAAGGGTATCGGCAATTATTATTGTAATTCTAGAGAATGGGTAAAATTACTGAATTTGTATGGCATGGATATTTTGAAGGAACTCATTTGGAAAATTATCCTTTATTGCTTTTTAAGTTGATATATTGGTACTGTGCTCACAGTAAAGGGATGTTCAAGTTGATGTAGAGCAATCAGATGCAAGTAGGTTGTCATTTATTGACTAAAATTCACCATAATTTAAATGCAAAATTGAGATGAGAATATATGATATTTTTGCTTCCATTCACTGTGGAATTAGAGATATTTGAATTTTTGTGCAATTGCCTAAGGCCAGTTTATAAGTAAGTCATGTTTTCAATTCAAGGGAACAGAAACCTGCAATAGATATTGTCTAGTATGAAGTGCTTGGTTTTCGTCTTTCAGTATTGCAATTTTTATAAGGGACCACAGGATGTCTTAGAGTTGGTTGCTGTAACTTAAAAAAGTTTGCTAACTCTCATAGGTGCTTTTTTTTTTACATAATTTGAATTTATACTTGGAACAACGCACATGAAATGTGAGGCCGAGATTATTATTATTATATAACTATTAATGTTGACTTTGTTATTTGAATACTTCGTAAAAGAAACTGCATTTCTATTATCAGATATATTAACTATATATAGTGCTTCATGCATGACATGTTATCTTAAAGAATAAAGATCATTACAGTATTACCTAACGTGTCAATTTAGCATCAACTTGGTTCTTCGTAAGTGAATCCTTTTTCGTATTCCAAACCTTGGCAGTTTATAAATTGAGCATGCTCTGTGCAGTTTGTTAAGCAAAAATGGAATGTTTTTTTGTATATTTTTTTTTAATCAATTTATTTTATTTTTTTTATATATCGGTGGTAGTGGATGATTCAGAACAGGATGAGTAAATTGAATCATTTTTTTTTTTTTACTTTTATAACATACACTGTTCCAAATATCGAACCACTGTCTTTGAAAATCGTTTTTGTTTAACCATTGATGTAAATTTGCTTCAGCTTTGATAATCTGGAGAGGTGAGATAATTAGTGGAATGATCCCGATCAAAAAGGCTAAAAAGTTAACATTGCATCGTTTAGGAGCACTGATTAACGGTAGTGCGGTTATTTTAGTACTTTCCCCGGTGGGCCTATGTGCGTGCTTATGAACACAGCACCCTGAATATCAGTTTGATTTTTTGAACGGCGTAAGGAGAGTCAAGGGTATTACTCAGGGTGGAGAATAAGGGGAGTGTTTAATATCAAGGCAGTTCAGCTAGGGTGGGCGTGCAGAAATACCATTACCTCGAAGACCTTTCAATCACCTAGTTTTGTGGGTTAAACGGAATTAAGAAGAAAACTAAATGACCGGAAAAAAACAACATTTGTTGCCAAGGCTGAATCATTTCTCCATGTTAAATCTCTTGTATTAACGATGCTAGTGATGGGATGGCGAGAAATGATTTGATTAATGGACTTCGATCATGAAATTAAACAAAAGCAAAAACTGAGATGAGTTCCAAGAATTATTCACCTCAAGATGACTTCATCATTGTCAGTCACCTAAATTCGTATCCTATCAACGAGAGCCTTTATATTCAATTCCTCCCAATTAAAGTTATATATGCACTGTTTAGCCTTAGAGGGTAGCCGAGAACGTTGATAAACGTCTTAATTACTAAAGCCAGTTAACTAGTCAAAACAATGCAATACTACGTACGGTGAGACGACATTTAAATAAATACCGCATGATTATATTGCGTGCGAATTTCCACTCGCTGTAAACAGTGTTTTCTGTCGCCCCCTCCCATCCCCCAACATATTATACCTTTCGGAGAATGGTTTCTCGAAAGAATTACAGCCCGAAAATGAATCAAAACTTTTAGATAAATATAGTCTACCTCAGTTTAAGATAAACCCATAAATGAAGAATAACGAATTCGATAGTAGACAAACTTTTGTTTTATCACATCTCAGCTGTACATAATGTTTTTGAAGAAAAATAACAGTCCATAACCTGCAAATTTTAAAATAGATTTTATACTGTGACAAAAGGGTCATGTAATATAGAGAACTGCCTTATTTAACAAAGCTTACCGCAATGTCAGGGCAGTTGAAGGTGGAGCTGAGATTGTAGCATACATGTATATTAGAGTCAATCACTTAATCACGGCGTGAATGTTAGAAAAAAATCTTCTCGGTCTTGGTCTGGTAAATATATTTCCGATTATAGCTCTTGTAATTAACAAACGAACCGCCAAACATTCCATTATGCCCCTCTTATCTCTGTAAGCACGCCTCTCTCTCCCTGACAACAAATGAATAGTTTGCCAGAAAACCGCCCTTTACGGCTCATATCGATACATTGACACAAAGTATTAAGTGCAGTTAAAGCCAAGACAAGTGAGAATATTAAAAACAAAATGAGCAATGGCTTAATAAAGGGTGTGTGCAATTTCCCACCACTGGGAAAAATCCAAGAACGAAATCAAGAGGACGTTGGATTTAAGGATAAAGATATAGAATTAGATCGGTGAAAAAAAACTCAGAATGTCGAAGGCAAATTTTTTCACTGAACTTTAGTATATCTCTCAGCCTACCAGCTTTGAAATAAAATACTTCAGGCTATTGAAGTGAACACTGAATCAATCATTTTTTTTCACGAATAATATTTTTCACCTTTCATCATCGTGGTCATGCTGGGAGATTTTTGAAGAAGAACACCAGGATGTAGCTGTTGAAAACAGCGAATGAGCACAGGAAGAGACAAAGCAGATATTCAAATACAGGATAAAAGCCATTACAGAAATCAGTTTATAGACACTGATTTTTTGTTTGTGTGAGACAAGTAGCATTTCATCGCTTTACACACCCAGGTAATCTGTCGAAGTAAGCGGTAAGTCGTACATACGATCCCAAATATGATTTAGTGATTATGAGCTTTTCCCATCCATTTCTTTAATCAAACGTTTTTGAATAAAGTAATTTTTCATTAGGCCTGTACATCGGAATGGTCAATATCCCATTAACAACACACTACCTAGTATAGTAGTAAGATAAGAACACAAATAAAAATGAATACTTGTTTTTGTATCACTCTGGCTACAGCTCAGTTAGAGATCTACCAGAATATACCCTAAAGTTGAAGCTGGGCAATGATGAAATAGAAGTCCTTATAATATAAACGTAGTTTTCAAGTGTTTGCATTTTGAATAGATGAAAGTAAGCGTTTGTGAAACCGTAAAACCGTGTTGCCAAGGTTTTGTACCTAAATGATGATAAGCCTTGTCTTAAAACATGATTTTTACATTAACGTAACAAACACATGTAACCCAATCAATTTTTCGAAAAAGAAAACGTGATTAAAAATATCCACTTTTCAATAGCTGAATAGGTAATGCATTGGCAAATATTTAAGAACATTAAAAGTGGTAAAATCTATTACTGATCACTTAAGACTTTCTTTTTTTCCTTTAACTATATATACATTATTTCGGTTACGCGGAGCATGGCATGCGAAAACTACAGACCATCAGGGGGAAGTGCTTTTTACATTAAAATCTAAAATTAAATTAAAATTAATTAAAATTACCAACAACACATAAGAGGGACTTTCAATCTCAAGTTGAGATACTTATTCGTTTTTAATCAACTTCTTAACGCCCACATAATTTGCAAACTACCATGTATCATCGATATTGTCAAGTACACTTTTAAAAGGATAAATTTAGGCAAGCATAGCAATATAAAAATGTATCGATTTCGCAGAGATTTTCTTTGTGCCTTACAAAAAGGACATTAATTTTTCGTTCTCACCTAGTCCTGGCACCGCTTGATTGATAATGTGTGTAGTTAAATGGGGCAGGTGGTGGGTTTCCTCTCCACGTTTAAAACCAATGCACCCTGTTGATCAGAGGGGACTCACTCTGTGTAGATTATCGGTGTACGCTTTAACGCAAAAGTACTGGAAGAGCTATTCATCAACCACTTACATTCAGGGTGACAGATCTCCGCTTTGTTGCCACGGCGACCTACTTCAAACAACCTGCGCTAGTCCCATGCTGACCACGTTCGGACAGAGCTTGAAATAAATTTCTGGTGCTAGAATTTTTATGTGTTATTATTTTACTTAAGTTTGAAATACCTCATTGTTTTGCCACCTAGGACTAATTCTTGACGAAGATGCAGTAAAGCTTCAACGATACTACCACAGATGGCGTTCCTCAACACAGCTGAAGGTACGTTTCTATAGATATGTATGGGAATATTAACATATAAAGGTTGTTTTTGTGTATTTTTCTTTACATAAGGCGATGGCCCGATGTAAATCACTCCCTTGAATTATTTTCGAATCACCTCAGTTCAACATTATTTAACAAAATATAACCCAAGATGCATGTATTTTATTTAATGCATCCACGCTACAAAAGTACATCGTGGGCGTACCGGTTGCCAGCGGTTCTTCAAGATTCAAGTGATTGAATTTCGCCCAACCTCTGAAACTATGAATTCTGAATTTTAGTTTAACTTATAAATGATTTATATAAAAATTAACTTTTGAGTGTGTGTTCATTTATAATGATTGATTTCGGAAGTTCGATAACGGCTGATTTATGTTAATTGCAGACGACCAAAATATGTTCTATGACAACGAAACATTTGAACTGGAACCTGATTACGACGCGGGAAGCGACTCAGACAGCAGGCGAACAGAAAGTGCAACCCGCCACAGTAAGTCGAACTCAAACCAAAGCGTCATAATAGCATCTGAAACAGGGAGACAATTCGACGACAATTTCATCTTAAAGGCTCGTGGCTGGAACGAGACAGATTCAGACACGAAAGAAAAAGTTAAGAAAAACCACAACCATGCCCTTCCTCAACAGATTCCCCTGCAAAGAATCAAAGCGACGCCAAGAATTGAAGTGAAACCATCTTTTACAAGTATAACAGCAAATTCCCATGGCATTGAGCATACATATGACGAGACAAAGTCAAAAACTCTGTCGGTCAATGACGTGTCTTTAATTGAGGACAATGATGACCCACTTCTTGGACAAAATCTAAATAACTTAATTAGACGGAGAAAGCTTAGTTCCAAAAAAGGGAGCAAGCGAAGGAGGCACAGTAGTAGGCGCGGTATCGTTCCTGGCTTGGAAAACCATGAATTCATGCGACGCCAGAGGTTGCTACCTAAAGGAGACAAAGGGAGGTGAGCTTAATGTTTATTTCTTTCAAAGATAAGATGCCTATGCCAGCGTCTGTACATAAATAATTGTAGATGAAACATGTAGCTGGCCATGTAATATTTCTTTAAATACAATGAAAAGCACCATTCATGAAAGAATAGGGTAGACAAAATATATGTTGAAAACACCAACCATATTAAAATGCCTGTTATAGGACCCTGTTAGACTATTTTACCAAGGAATTTTGAATAGAAATATTTTTCATTTGACACAGTGTCATAGCGCTGAAGCTTTGAAAGATAAAGGCAGCAATTCGTTGGCGCCACCACAGATTTGCAGACACGTTTTCGTCACTTTTCTCTCCATGCTCAATGCCAACTTCTCCACTTCTCCCTATTCTAAACGCATAATCATTACTTAATAACGTTGGATTTAAATGAATTACTTGTTTTCTATGGTCATTAAACGATTCTGATGGTGATCTCGATGGCGGGTGTTTATTCGACAACTTATGCAGTTTAATTTTTCTGAATGTGGTATATGGTGACCAATCACCTAATTCGCTTTGCTTTATACGAGATTATCTCCTGCATACCCTCAAAAGCTTCAAACGATGACACAAGGAAGTTTATATTTCTAACAATTAAACAGACGACAAGGAAGTTTATATTTCAAACAATTAAGGCTACCTAACTTTGAATAAAATTGAAATGAACTTCGATGAGGAAATTTAGGAAATTTCACTAACTTGACACGCTGTAAGGCTAACAAATGGCACGCCATTATTATTCGTGCAGACACATGAAACTCGACCTATTTTAGGTCTAGATAGAGATAACGGACAACTTGAATGTCTAGATAGAAATAACAGAATATTTCACAAGTTTTTCAAAAATTCGGCCATCTGAAGCCCAGGCGTATGTCTTTTTATTCCTCACAAGGATCTGCCCCACTATTTCAACCCGATAAAATCTTGCTACCTCCGCGTGCGACAGAACGTTTATAATAGCACGCTTCAGCGACGAATCAATGAATGTTTCTGCAGCCATTTTCATACTGCGAAAGTTTAAAAAAATGAGAGTCTGAACATTGCACGAGCGCTGGAAATATGAATTCCCAGATTTCCAGACTAGCTTTGTTTTTCCTACACGCGATTTGCACGCAAGCATACATGACCGGTTAAAACACCCATCCATTAAGGACCCCTTAAGAGAACATCACAAAAGAGCCGTCTCCTTCAACTACACAGGTGATTGGACGCGCTGGACTATGTTAACGTTCTCATTACTCCTCCACACATAAACTGACAGAGTAAATTGCAAAATCAATGTTTTTTCAGGTAAAATGGATTAAAAATCGGGTTAGTTTACCCATCGGTTGATGTTTCATGTACAATATTATTATGTTTTAGGCAGTTATACAGTGCATATAGAGAAGGTTTATTTTTGGTTTTTCGACATGTAGAACATATCCAAGTGTGTGGATTCAGGAGACGTAGCATGGTCTTCAGCTGTTTTAATATTCTCCTGTTTTCTTAATCAACAACTGTGTGTTCATTTGACTGTCAAAGGCATGTTCATAATTCTTAGACCATTATAATACACTATCTCTGGTAATTTGTCATTTTCGCGCGATGTACATGTAAATAGCTCAATGAAATCGTTCACTATAATGTAAATTTGAATGCAGTACTTCGTGAAGTGATGGCCAGGAAGTTCTAGAATCCTACAATAATATTATATTACACCGGCGAATGAGTTATCTTTGTGGCACAAAAACCCCATAAACTTTTAAAGCATTTCCAAACGGTATCAGATTCAATTTGTCCTCAGATAATGAAGTTCAGTTATTCGAAATAATAAAAAAAACTGATCTAAATGTTAGCTTTTCCAGATCATTTCTAGAAAAACGCTTTCAGGTAACTCAACCTATTGTCAATGTATGACAAGGATTGATGCCAGCTTTGGCATCACGCAAATATACAATTCTACAAAGAAGGCTGCTCTGTAAAAGCAAACAACCAGCACATGCAATATTCAGGAAGAACGTTAAACGAAGTTACATTACGTGATTAATATAAATGTTTTCAAGGTGAACATATTATTCTTGGTAAATTATTAAAGCAAGCATATTTTCGTACTTAGGGCCTTTCTACACTGAACGGTATATTTTACTTTATAGTCTATACCGGTGCGCTTTGAAAGATCGCCTAGCTGTTACGTAAGGGAGTTTCTTAAGGGAGTTGCTCTGATAGCAAAAAGCAACTTAGGGAAAGGGAATAAAACTCCTATAGCGTATATTACATGTAAGGTCTTCTCAAAGTTTACCGGTGCAGACTGTATCAGTTAGATTTAATGCTCGATATGGAGAGGGCCTTATTCTTTTTTTTTAGTTTGCACTGCGTAACAAAAAGGTAAAAATCGACTAAGTTCAGCTATAAAAATTTCAACAGGACCTACCTATTTTTTGGAATGAAGGTATATGGCTACAGCATTATTGATCACATTTGGAATATATTCTCTCCCTAGACAAACACAGTAGGTGAGAATCATATGCGTCATTTTGAAGTTGAATAGGTACATTATACACAGAGGCGGGTGGGGGGAGAGCAGAGCTTCTGGGGCACCCCATTCTCCCTTTAAAATAAATAAAAAATAAAACTGGCGAAGTGTATCCTACAAGGCCACACATTACATTTTATTGAAATTGAATACTATATGCCCATCATTTTCTCCCCATCCCTTTACCAATATAGAAATTGCGTGTATTAATTTCTGTAAACTTTGTTGTTGAATTGTAGTGAAAATGAAGACTACATGCGACTATATAATGAAAATCAGGACGAGTCGACGGAGGAGGAGATTTTTCAAAATATCAAGCTCCAGAAGGACATCATTGAGAGCATCAGAACACAACCCTGGCGGATGAGACGAAAACTAAAAACATTACAGTAAGGATTTTCTTTCCTAACATATTCGCATGCCTTTTTTGCTGTGGCAACTACCACTACCCTGTTATTGCCTACAGCGTGCAATGATCCCATCTAACACCTAACACAATGGCATACCTTTAATTAACACTGAACGCAGAAAAAGCGCCCTTTTGATACACATAATACTTCATGTACATGCCTCTTTCATATCTAGATCATTCCACTAAAAGCAAAACATTTGAGACAAGTCACTGACTTGCACGTTTTGTGTCCAAATTGAAAATTTTATTAGCACTGCTTTACATCGATACCTTTTAAATATTGCTGAAATCTCTTCAAAGCGGGGGAATGGGGGACTGTAGCATAAATTAGCGAAAAAAATAGGGCAAGTCAATAAAATGTTCATATTACACAAAATGTGTGTATAACTGACGTGACTGAAAGCTTGCTTTTGGTGAACGAACCATCTTTATTACCTTTCATCGTAGGCTAGCCAAATCGTATGTTGAGAAGTATGAAGGACGGCTGTCTCGTAGCCATGGTTACCAAGAGGCTGGAGCCAAAGTAAGTACGCCGAATAGCTGTCATATGGTTTACTACAGGTACATTCACCATGGTTCTCATAATACTGACGTTAACAATATATCTCTTTGATAACGGCGACAAGAATTGAAGTCCGCTGGGAACCGTAGACCCTTATCCTTTACTTTTGTACCGGTGACATTGGTCGCATATACTTGTCCCGATGCTTTCGACTCTAATTGAAGCTCTATATTCTAAGCTCTCCACGCTCATGAGTCCCGCCCCCCCCCATCTCTATTTTTTAAAATATTAAGCAAAGTGTGATGTGATTTTTTCTTCAGTCAACAGCTAATACTGTGATAGGTTTTACCTCCAGTAGCTGTTGATTGAAGAAAAAATCACATCATTCTTATAACTTAACACAGCTGATGAAATTCTTCTCTGGCTAAGCAAAGTGTGAAAAAAGCAAGGATGCATCTCCATCTCTGTGAAGAAAACATTTGAGTAGGCCTAAAATTGCTGTCGCCTGTCGAAGCAAGGCAAATGTTACCCAGCAAAATTCTGGAATGCGGTTCAATGTGTAACAGCAGATTTATCAATTAGCAAAGTACTAGTAATGTGCAGTTTTTGGTCTTAGGTAATAAATTGCAAGATCAGGGTTCTTTTCTGAAATTGGAGCAGTGCTCTAAAAGGCGACTCTATTTGGCCAATCTTGATCATGGGTAAAGGTTATTTTCTACTCCACATTGATTAACAGAATAATTTAGACTACTAATAAATATTGCATCAGAATTGGTGTAAGTGTCTGAACTACATGTATTTCGAATGTATTCTTACCTTCGTTTCAGTTTTGGAGAATGTTTAAACGCGAAGCAACGAATTTTTTCGCCCTCTTTATTCCATGGGAAATGCGGATAAAAAGGACAGAGAGTACGTATAACCAGCTACGTTTAAAGTTATAACTGAAACTACTATCGAACCATATAGTGCCGTGTCAAAGCAATTAAACTGTTCGTCACATTATGTATCATTCGGACAGCAGTTGGTAATTACTCATCATTAATGATAAACGTTATTCTTTAACTTTTTTGGGGGAGTTAATCGACCTGAAGAGAAATCGCTATAAGAGACCATTGCCACAGATATTTAGATCGATATATCCCCCAGGGGAGTCTCACTACATTGCTGTCAACTTGGCCGGCTTAAATGTCTGTCACGCCTAGTAAAGCTGTTAGTGGGTAATTATCTTTACCTTAGCTGATTCGGTAGGCGTGACAGACATTTAAGCCTCTTGAGCTGACAGCAATTTAGCGTGAACCCCCAGCGAGTTAGGTCGATCCAGATCGACCGATCTAAATCTGTGTGAATGCAGTCTAAGTTGTCGTAAACAATTATTTTGGTCAGTCGTAAAAGACGTTCTGTTACAGGTCACTTCGGATCCGTTGTGGCGTCTTACTTCATATTCATGCGCTGGATATTTGGCGTCAACCTCATTCTATCATTGATCACCGTAGGATTCATAATGATCCCGGAAGTAAGTGGTACATGGAAACAAACTTCGATTCGATTTGTTTTGAATTTCTTTTCATTTGATGTTAACATTAGTGTTCAGTTTGGTTCATTTAGTCGAATTCTTACTCAAAAAAGGATAGGTCGATCACATTTGTAAGTTTATGTGCTATATTGCAGGTATGTATGTATTTCAAATGCAATCGCTGCAAGATAACTAACAGAATATCATGAAACTAATACTACATCGTTTATGTTACTGTGGTCACACAGCAGACAAAATCGTTGTTCACTATAACATAAAAAGTATATTTTAAGCAATCAAACTTTAAAAGCTGTTTGTTGCTACTTGCATTGTATAGGCCCTATGGCAAATGATACTTACAGAGCTATTACATATATTCCACAATCAATTCTCAATTTCACAGATCATCTTGGGAGATCCACATGGCTCTACAGCTAGAAAAACGGTCCCAGCAGAAGAATCAGATCATGCCATGGACCTGAAGACTTTGTGGAACTTTGACGTGCGTATAAAACAAATCACTGAACGCCTGTATTATATTAACTTTTAACTAACTTTTGAATAATGAAATATTATTTCTATTCATTTCAACGGTTTAATTAGAAAGTGATAATAGGATCGTTGGAAATAGCAACTCTTCTTTTCAAATGATTTTGAAAATCGATTTTAATTTACTCGATATGACGTTTTGCTGTAGAGTACATGCGCATTAAGAACAATCTTATTTTTAGGGCTATTTGGAGTATTCGCCGATATTCTATGGTTACTATGGTAACGAAAAAGTCATTGGTAGCTGGTATCGTCTGCCGCTGGCTTATTTGTTGGTAGGATTGGCTACCTACGGTTATAGCTTTGTCACCATTCTTAGAAAGTGAGTTTTTTTTGGGAAACATTTATATAAAAATTCATAAGTGTTTCAAGATTACCCCAGGATATCCTCTGGTCAATTTAATCCCGTCCACGTTTCAAGTTCATATAGGTCAGATACGTACATGTATGCTCTTCCTTTATATATAGATTTTCAAATTAACTTTTGTACGTGCTTGTCTTTAAATCTGAAGCGGAATCGTATTTGTTTTGATTGTTATTATGATTGTTTGTTACAGACTATAAGAGCTATTCTTTATTTTCTATGATTTGGTTAAATTATGCACAAGAACTTTGCATTATTTTTCAATTAAAAAACTGACGTAAAATATACGTTCCTGCCGGTTTCTTAGTGAAGGCAATTCAAGCATATTTTTTTAATCAATGTTCCCAAGGATGGCGCATAATGCCCGAGAGAGCAAGTTGGTCTCCAAAGGCGATCAGTACACGTTTTCATGGAAGTTGTACTCTACATGGGACTTCATGATTGGCAACGCGGAAACGGCACACAACAAATTTGCTGCAATTGCCACAAGCTTCAGGGTAAGGTCCCTTTCAGCTCAAAGGATCGAATATAGCTAATCCTGCCATAATTTTTGTGCGAGTGACTGATAATTTCCTGAGCAATCTTTAACCAAAATATGTCATAGTATCTTTTTCAAAATAGATTTTGACTTTCGATTTTTTACATCATTTGTATTTTTTTTTTGCATTGCTTAACAAAAAATATTAAAAATGATAAAGCGTTTTATTGAATTTCATTAATCCAGGAAGCAATAATAGAAGAAGAAGAGAAGAAAAAGGAAGACAACAGGTAAATATCTGATAACAAACAGTAACAAATACCAGATAACAAAAAGTATAAAATATCTAATTCCCAAACGGTCACCCAATACTGTAAAAAGTAATTTGAAGAAAGTTCATACAAGGTTGACAATTTTAATGCATTAATTAAAGAATCATATAACGCCTTGATTAAGACATTTGTCAAGACATATTTCAGGCCTATACCCAACTACCGGACTCTGCACCGAATGATCCTGAAGTCACCGGTAGATCGGGCCACACTGCCCGTTTTCAAGGTGTGTCAGTACGCATTTTCCCGGAACAAACTTTGAGATGAGATGCACTACTTACCAACCCCTCTGAGAATCATCACTATCACATCACGTACTAGGCGAGAGCGGTGTCGCGTCTGATACTTCGAAGCGCGTACTGACGGACACCTTGAAAATGGGTGGCGTGGTCCGATCAACCGGTGAATTCAGGATAATTCGGTGCCGAGTCTGGTAGTTGGGTAGGCCTTTCGTATTCACAGCGTTCACCAAAAACTAACATCATTTATATATAGATAGGTACGGTGGCAATGAAAACAATATTGATTTTATATTTTTTCACCCACGTAAGGTACCTTCTCATTTTTCTCCGCATCCTGGCTAACATCTTCGTGCTGGCCGTGCTGGGGGCCAGCGCCTACACTGTATTCCTAGTCGTGGAGCGTTCCCAGCACTTCGAGCAGAAGGTCAAAGAGCAAGGCCCCGATTCCGTTAATTGGTGGGAGGCAAACGAGGTAGGGGCCGTCTTCCGTACCCTAGGTTCTAGTTTTGCCAGCTCGATCTTGATTTCATATATAACCCATATCAGCAAAACTTATTAATTTTTCAATTTACATCTTATATACAGTAAAAAAATTAAATAAAGCAAAATTAAACATGTTTTACGTTTCATTTTGGACTAATGACATTCAACTGCAGACTGTGACAGTAACTTGTTTTTAAATGTAAAAAAATTCAACATGTACAGTTATAAGGAGTGGCACAACCAGTGCCCTTTTCCTTTTTATTTTTTGAAAATAAACTGTTTTTAAATAAAATCTAAAACGTCCCTGGACGTCTCGAAATTCACAATCACACTTATAATCGGCTTTAGAGCGATTTAGGCAACATAAATACATTGGCTGTGCGATATCAAACAAAGTTCTCGATGTCATTCGACAGGTAGCCATTGTGATGTCATTGATTACACTGCTTTTCCCGTCTCTGTTTGAGCTGATTGGAATGATGGAAAAGTACCACCCCCGGGTCAACCTCAGGTGGCAGCTGGCAAGGTAAATGCAAATGTGAAATAAAAAACGCCAGACTCATACCCATTCTCTTCTCCAAAGAGAGAGACAAGCATCTCTTTGGTTCACAGAAGAACGACAGGGTCCTTTAACTGCAACAATTTTAAAGTTTTATTTGGAGCGGAGAGGGATTTTATAATCTGGTGCCGCCAATAACCAGGGTATTTTACATTTTTGTAGTGAGGCAAATAACTACATCGTTCGTCTAAGTGATAAAGCAGAAAATGCCAATTAAAATTAAATTTTTGATTCCTTAGACGGATCAACTATTTACTTTTTAATACTAATGTTAAATTTCATTCTCCAGGATTTTAGTGCTGTATCTGCTGAATCTTTACACGCTATGCTTTGCGTTGTTCCACAAGATTAATTTCCTGGTAAGTAAAACGAATGAGAACATGTACGCTAAAGTAAAAAAAAATGACTGCTGTCAAAACCATTTTAATGAATACCTTCTTAAAGTGACTACATCAAAAATTGCTCTTGAAACCAAATCCCAAACTTAAAGCAATACCCCCATGTCGCTAGAGAAAACGATATCTCTCTGAATTAAAATACCCTTCATATTGCGTAATTCTGTCAGATTTTTTTTATTTGAATATTCATAAAAACCGAACAAAGAGGGCAGTATATAAAATACTTTATTTAAAATATAAACAGAAAAAAACGGTCTTCCATTGTCTTTCAGAAAGAGCAGTATGCCGATAACGTCTCGTCCATGCAAGCGGCCAATCTAACATGCTTCCAAAAGAACGAAAGCACCTTTAACACATCCTGTGCCGAAGCTGCCGCCTCTCAGAGGGTTCTGTTAGACACCTGTTGGGAGACTATGGTCGGGCAGGTGAGTCGTCCTGTTTTTTATAGGCGAAAAAAACATAAAAACATAGCACTTACGTATAAGAAAAATTACCCATACGCAGACAAAAGCAAGGGGTTCGTTAGATTTACGTCGTATGCGTCTCAAGAACGCAGGCAAACGTTGGTGTGCAGCCTCATACCCGGAGAGAATAATATGTATTGAACATGATGAAAAACAATTTCCCACGCTTTTTGGTATCTTCCTTTTAAAAAACTGAAAACGGGGTGATTTCATTGTCTCAAATTTGCGTGCAAAATCTTTTTTACGATACTTATACCTGTACATACCACCTTACGCTAGGCGTGACAGAGCCTTTAGAGTCTGTTGGAAACCTAGTAATAACAACCTCTAGCGTGTGGCATCAGAGAACGTATTGTAGTGATCCGTTAATTAGAACTGTGCAAATTAAGATAGAGTATAAAGGCAGTGACTGAGCCACAGAGAGGACTTACAGACTGAGAGAGTTAGAGATAGTTATAGATACGGTAGAAGAGACCTGAGTCTTCAGGCACTTGAATAAACCATGTAACAGAAAACTATACCTGCCTGTCTCGGCTGACTTATTGGTGAAAAAGTAACTTAAAGAAAGTGTATAACCACCGACTGGTTATTACAGTATGCTGGGTAGAGTGTCCGCGTTGGATCAGTCAGGGTGCCTGTTACTAACGATATTGTGTTGAACTGATGCATTTTGTATCGCAGTCTTTTATATGAACTTTAGGAAATTATGACGATGAGAAGCTGACAAATATTTATCTTGTCAGAAGGCCTATATTAACACCTACGTGTGTATACTTAGACAAAGTATTTCAGATGGAATTGCATGACAGATTTTTAAAATCTTTTCATTCGATCAATTGAACAGGAGATGGTGAAGTTGACCGTGTTTGACCTGTTGACCACAGTTGGTGGAATATTAGTGATCGATTTCTTCCGTGGGCTAGTGGTCAGATACGCAAACTTCTGCTGTTGCTGGGATCTGGAACGGAAATTTGTGAGTATTTCGAGTACATTGTATCAAATATGAATCTTTTTCCTCTATCTTTTACTTTTATATTAGTGAGAAATGGCCAAACACACAAGTTAGACGTCTATGGATTTGAAAGAATAGGCAGCTTGACTACCTAAGACCGGCATATCGGCTTCAGTTCATGAACCTTGAGTTCATTATTTGTAGTTGCTCTGAAAATTTAATTGTCACAAACCTTTCCACAAAGCAATACATTTCATACCATGAAGTGCAAATTAACTTTCCAAAAATCTGAATTTTTATTATAATTTGAAAATCAATTCGTTTACTTACTAGCCTCCGTTTTAATCGATAACGATATATAACTAAGAATGATGAAACAAATATGAAACCACTCTTAGTAATGTTATTATCAATATATATATATGGCCAAACACAGTTGTGTATATATATATAACGTGCTTATTTTTCATTTTAGCCAGAATACGGGGAATTTAAGATAGCAGAAAATGTGCTGCACGTGATCTATAATCAAGGGATGATATGGTAGGGTATAGATCAAAAATCCTAAAAATGTTATAAACTGTCTCAACTTATGGAGCTCATACTTCAAAACTGAACTATGAAAAGCGTTTAACAAAACGTTTTTTTTTAATGGAAGGAAATGGTGCAATTGTCTTTCGGCAATAAATCACGGTTCAAAACAGACGAAAACGGCATAAAAATTAATTTTTTGGGAACATTTTTCGGGCCGTGTTCCTCTTTAAGCAGCTTTAACAATAACACAGTTGGGTTTTTTCACAGTATATACCATAAATGTTGGGGACAGGAACCTGACTTTAATAAGCTTAACTTGAATCATTTTCAGGATGGGAACGTTCTTCGCGCCTGCCTTACCTGCAGTGAATATTCTAAAGCTGTTAATCTTGTTTTACGTCCGGAGCTGGGCCGTTCTAGTATGTAACATACCTCACGAGAGAGTATTCAGGGCGTCCAGATCGAACAACTTCTACTTCTTCCTGGTATTGGTGATGTTGTTTCTCTGTACGTTTCCAACAGGCTATGCCGTGGTGCTGATAGAGCCGTCACCGCACTGTGGGCCTTTCAGGTATTATTTATTTATTTATTTATTTATTTATTTATTATTATCATTTTGCATTTTTGATAATAAAGAACATCCTTTGCCAGTCACTCAAACCCTGTTCAAAAATTACATCCATAAACTGTCAATTGAATATCCTATGACGTCTATGAAGTGGTGACGGGGGACTCCTGCAGAGTCAATTTATAGAGTAACACCGTCAGCACTATGAAGGAATGTTTTCCCTGCAAGGCGGGTATTTTGCCCGTCCTCCAAATTTCACTGCCTGAAGAAAGATCTTGTGAAAAGCATTGAATTTGGTTTACCCTAGTTCTAAAAAAATATAAATACAAAATAAAGATTGGTGGCTCGCCTGTCCATAAATAGCCTATTGTGATCGAATACATTTTTTGCGAATATGGTTACTGTGACTACCTGTTCTGTGCACACTTTTCTATCTTTCTCGGTTTATTTCAGTGGACATAAATACATGTATNAAAAAAATATAAATACAAAATAAAGATTGGTGGCTCGCCTGTCCATAAATAGCCTATTGTGATCGAATACATTTTTTGCGAATATGGTTACTGTGACTACCTGTTCTGTGCACACTTTTCTATCTTTCTCGGTTTATTTCAGTGGACATAAATACATGTATTCCGTGATAACCGACACTATACAGCAGGAGTTTCCAGACTGGTTGATCATGGTATTTGACTACGCCTCATCTCCGGGGGTAATCATTCCAGTGTTTTTATTATTAATGTAAGTACCTCGACTTTTTCGATTTTTTTTAACACAGAAATTAATGCCTGATAAAAGCTTGCTCATCAAAGCGTTTGTTTATGAACGCTTAACAATGCTTAACATGCAATGAATCTTGTCACTGACGAAAATACGTGTCATTTATCACAGTGTCAACGAATACGTGTCATTTATCACAGTATCAGATTGTCAACAACACTGCCAATATATGGTTTAGACTTTCGAATTATGGCATATGCTGTTTTTACACATAACGTATTTTAAAAAATACTAAATATCAGTGTACCATTTTTGTAGGGAATAGACATGTTGCTATTGATATTTTGTATATTGGATTAATTATTAATCGACATCATTTTAATTACAGTATGATTATTTACTACTTAACGTCACTGTCCAGATCTTACAAGGAAGCCAACAACGACCTGAAAGTACAACTTCATTACGTAAGTAGTGTCATTTTTTAAATTATATCTTCATCGTCATCAGCAGCAATACCGTGGTAATTCATTTTAATTTCTCAGAGATTTTTTTTTGAGATTTCTTTTATATCATTGACATTATCTTAATTAGCATACAACCGAAATAGCCTAATGTTTTCTTCCACATTTTCGAATTCTTTTATTGGATACCCGAAAATAGATTCAAGATATGGTTCATCACATCATATTAAACGGATTCATAATAAATATTTGCATGAATCGATTAACAATAACTATACACTTATTATTACATTATTTTTAGGAGAGAACCGAAGAGAAGAGAAAAATATATGCCATGGCAGATGGTAAATGTTCCTGCTTTATATTAATCATGATTCTATACAATCGACTATGAAGCAGCTTGTGCAATTAAAAAAGCAAACATTTTCGGCCTAATTAAAGCAACATATACGTGCGAGTGTGTAAGAATTTCATTGCAAAAGTTGCGTTTAAATAACATATGACTCTTCAAAGTAAATCCTTACAAGAATGAGAAGACTACAGTAAAAGCGCTTTTTATTTGCAAATTTGACAGCCAAAGCAGCAAAACTCCCTGCCAACAAAGCGTCAACCCCGAACTCAAAATCAGCAGACGACACCAAGGTGTCTCCTACGGTTCCTGGGGTCAACATACTGCGAGCCGTGAGCCCGTCAGCAGCACTGGGGGTCAGTGTCAATGTACTACGTGGTGTGACTCGGCAAGTGCAACGCCCCCAAATGCAGGACCAAGGACAAGAAGGTGTGTCTAGTAAACATGGACCACTTTTGGGGATGGTTGAGCATTTTCTAGTCCATAATTATATTCTTTTGAAGTCTACTATTTGAAGAAAATAGTTTCTTTGCGTTTCTATATACTTGTTATTTTTCAGAAATATACTGTTATTAGCTTTTTTAAAAAAGTTTTGGCTTTGTATTTAAAGACATTAATTTTCCTTGAGCTTGTTGAATACTTAGCTAGAATGTACAAACTCGGTTTGTTTACTGGTAATTTCTGCTAAGCAAATTCTTACACCAGCAACTCTCACGCGCTCTGGTAACAAAACAAAAAAAAAAAAAAAAAAAAAAAAAAAAAACAGTATTTTTCATTGCTTTTATATATATTTCAGATGGTGCCCGAGGCAGAGCCAGACTCCAGTCATTACATTTGAATGAATTGTAAAGAAAAATGTTGTGTCAAGACCACAGCATCACAGCAATAACACGTTCTACATATAAATAGTGATATAGTTTTCTCATTGTCTTTTTTAAAGAAGTGGTAAAAACGAAGTGTCTCATAGATAAAATATATTGACACTTTAGATGAAAATGTATGGCCAAATTTACTTGTTGACCACAGTCTTCTTTTCACATGCCTCTCTAGTTGCTGTGCTACGTTTAGGATATTGAACATTTGGCATGTTATTTATTCATCTATTTGTTGAGAGTCTCTGATTAAGCCTCAAATTTAAAGATACAATGTAAAAGAATTTAGGAGGAAAAATGCACGCTGTACCCTGCATATTACTGTATAATTACATTCAAGTAAACAGTTTTAACAGTATCTTTTCAAATTTTATTTTTATTTTGTCCAGTTCACCCACTGTGGATAGATAAAGATATGTTAATTAAAAACTTGGATAATTCATTCACATTTTTGTATGTTACTTGAAATTTTTTATGTATGTGTGAAAGAAAAAATGTTCCATAACAATGACCATATCAAACCAATTTCATGCTAAACAGCAAAGCCCAAGAAAGGCAAAAATGAAAACAACACAAGTGGTTTTTAGAAAGCTTTAATGCTTGATTTAAAAAAAAAGGCAATTAGAATATTGACAAATAGGGTATACACAAAATTATAATGATAACAATAATAAAAAATTACATGATAAGTGTACAACTACACTAATAATGAAAAAAAAATATAT